AACCTCTATTTTTTCTATGAGAATTTTATTAATTTATTGCCATGGCAATTTTTACTGTTTTGACATGGCAAGTTTACCTATTTTTGCCATGGCAATATTGGACATTCAAATGAAAAAAAAACATGGATTTTTTCTTTCAATTAGCCATGGCAATTTTTCCTATGTTGACATGGCAAATTTATCCGTAACGACATGGCAATTTCTTTTTTTAACCTCTATTTCTTTTTTTAATTTTAATTTTTTATTTTTTCCATGGCAATTTTTTAGCTTTTTGACATGGCAATTTTACATATATTGCCATGGCAATATAGGACATTCAAATGAAAAAAAAGATGGCAAATTTTTCTTTCAATTTGCCATGGCAATTTTTCCTATATTGACATGGAAAATTTATCTGCAACGCCATGGCAATTTCTTTTTTTAACATCTATTTTCTATTTTTCTGTTAAAATTTTATTTTTTATTTTTCCATGGCAATTTTTACCTTTTTGACATGGCAGATTTACCTATATTGCCACGGCAGTATAGGACCTTCAAATAAAGAAAATGGCAAATTTTTCTTTCAATTTGGCATGCCAATTTTATCTGTAACGCTATGGCAATTTATTTTTTAACCTCTATTTCCTATTTATTTTTTGTTAAAATTTACTCTTTTATTTTCCCATTGCAATTTTTATCTTTTTGACATGGCGAGTTTACATATATTGTCGACGTTCGGTAATTATCCTGTAGGGGTAGTGGCAATGGGCGTTCGGGATTTACCTATACTACCTTTACGTACATGTCAATGTAATCACTAATGGTTTTTTCGTGTCAAACCAACTTTATGGGACTGGCATTTTTACTCTATTTTTCTTTGATTTTTTTACTTTACATATGATCCATGGCAATTTTTTGTTCCAGCAAAAAAGGGCTTGTGTTTATTTTGTCCCAGCAAAGAAGGGCTTTTGTGTCGCTTCTGGGCTTTTTTTTTTGTTTCTACAGAGAAGAGGCCTGTAAGGCCGTGTTCCTAAAAAAGGGCCTGTAGGGGCAGTGCCAATGGGCGTTCGGGCTGGGGGCCTCTCGTCCCGAACGAAATCGTTTGGCAGGGCTAAGATGGCGTACCGAACCTTTCGTTCGGTCTGGTACGCCCCCAGACCAAACGTTCGGTAGTTATCAACGTCCTAAAGAAAACTAACAGGGTCTCCCGCAAAAAACAAAAACAAAACTAACAAGGAACAGTTTTTTTTAGGGGAAATATTGCCGCATTTATTTAATCAAACGCATTCGGAATGTCATCCGAGATTACATCAAGCACACACTCGGGGGTGACCCCCACCCAAACTAACAAGGAACAGTTGGTACAAATCGACCACACCCTCACCTCATCCTCATGGCTGTTGGGCACAAAGTTAAGCCAAACTGGAACTCGTGTTCCTTAGCGGCCGCTGCCCCAGCCCGATCCACGTGCGCCAATATTCTACCACGAAGGATCTTCCAAAAAAATATTCCAACACAAACTATACTAACACTAATTTTTTTTAAACAAGCGTACATCCATCCTACCGCGATCTTTGCATCGCCCGATTGCCTCTGGCGTATACACGCACCCCCGTTTCTTTAATCCCGCGTACAAAAACCAATGATGACAACCGGCCCAGCTCACTGCAACCAGCCACGCCAAGCCAAGACAGCAGTACAAACTTTGGCAGCAGCGAACGAACGAGCGACCATCACGCAAAAATGCGTACGCATTTTCGGCGGTTGTTCACAGCCAATTCCAAGAAAGCGGCGGCCGCGCAGCGCGGAACACTACTTATTTTTGGGGCGGAAAATAATGACTTGGTATACCCCCGTAAAAAGTAGGGAGGAAATTGTTTGGTAGAGCCAGGTGGCAGTCGGCCTGCCCGCCTGCCTGGCGGGCTGGCTGACTGGCGGCTGACTGACTGGCTGGCCTCCGTGCTCCAATGATTGGCGGAGCTGCCTAAATTAGCTCCCTGGACCTCGAGAAGGCCTTTTGGCAGGAGACGGGCGGCCTGGATGATGATGGGAAGGGAGCGGGCCGGTTTCACCGCCCGGATTCAGCCCGTTTCTACAGGAGTCAACGCCGCCGCAAGATTCCGGTGAGGAGGGATCTTTTTTACCGGCGGCGTGGCCGGGCTAGGGGCACGCACGCAAAGAGCCACCCCTTCTTCGCACCGCACGAAAAGCACGAGGAAGGAAGAAACTTGTGCTCACAGTCTGAGATCTCGATTCTGATGGCGTATCGCGATCAAATCCAGTGGATTCTAATTTAATTACTCGCCTAAATATACGTCTTTTAATATATTCCAATATAAACTATATACGGATGTATATAGACGCATTTTAGAGTGCAGATTCACTCATTTTGCTCCGTATGTAGTCCATATCGTAATCTCTAAAAAAATGTATATTTAGAAACGATAACATGCACGATCTTCACAATCAATGAAATTGTGATATCCAGCACGTATATACTTCCAAAAAAGGTTGTATGCGCCAGCTCGAGTACATTGATTGCAAATTAGTGAGTACCCAATTTACTGATTACCTTGCAAAGAAGAAAAAAATCACTGATTCACGGCAAAGTTTTTTTTTGCGCAGAGTACATCAACGATAATCATGGTGTTTGGATTTTTTTTTGAAGTTCGCACCATATTCATTCATCCCGTAACGACTTGAATGTGTTATAGTACTAGGTGAATATGCATTTTACATGCCTTATGTACTTTTATCACAAATAAGTTCTAATGGGTGTACACCTAGCGCAACAATAAACCCTATCATTTTTTTTAAGTTCGCGCCATATTCGTTTAGTCCTATAACGACTAGATTGCCTTATAGTATTATAAGTGAATTTATATTTTACATATCTTATTATGTACTCCTCTCCTCTAACAGGTTCTAGTGTGTCCCTAGCATGATAATAGATCCTCTCCAAAAATTCAAAAAAAATTTACAACATCTGTCAACAAAAAATAAGAAACCTAACATATGTTCTGGTGGGTTTTATTCAATAGATTTTATTTTAACTACTTTATAGCACATGGGCAATGATCACGCTCGATGAAATTGTGATATCCAACACATATACGCTTGCGGAAAACGATTTATGCTTCAACTCGTGTACATTGATTACAAGTGTAACGAGCAATTAGTGGGCATCTATGTTAACGGCAATATTTTTTGCGCCCGAAAGTGCGTCAACAGTAACCAGGGTATAAGCTTCTGAAAAACGGTTTATGCTCAAACTCGTGTACATTGATTACAAATGGCACGAGCAATTAGTGAGGATCTACATTAACGGCAATATTTTTTCGTGCGCGAAAGTGCATCAACAGTAACCAGGGTACTTGTTTTTAAAAGTTTGCACCATCTTCATATATCCCATAACAACTCATGGTATTCATTTGTTTTTTAAAAAAGTTTGCGCCACATTCATCTATCCATAACAACTCATGGCATTCCTTATTTTTCAAAAGTTCGCGCCATATTCATTTATCCCATAACAACTCATGGTATCCATTTATTTTTGAAAAGTTCGTGCGCCACATTCATCTATCCCATAACAACTCATGGTATCCATTTATTTTTGAAAAATTTGCGCGCCATATTCATTTATCCCATGACAACTCATGGTATCCATTTATTTTTGAAAAGTTCGCGCGCCACATTCATCTATCCATAACAACTCACGGCATTCCTTATTTTTCAAAAGTTCGCACC